GTGTTAGTGATCAGAACCATTTTTGAACAGTATTAATCTTCTGTTGGAAAAATGCCGCCTTGCACAACCTCTCTAGGAAATAAGATTAAACACAGACCTCTAATGGCAAAAAAGCTAGATCACAAGTACAGATGGCCCTAATAGTTGGACTTTATGTTTCAGAGTTTTGTCTTACACTTGAGAAAATCTAGTGTTTTAGTGAAAGTGTTTTTTAGAATAGCCTTAGAAGAGGAGCTCTACCAGTGGATGGGAGGAGCCCAAAAAGTGTTCTCCTATTGGCTCGTGAGCTGTGGTTAGGCACTCTGATTCTTGTCCCTTACTTCCTTGTCACTGCGGAGGCTGAGAGAGGTGATTATCATCCTATTGCCTTCTCACGGCCCGTCTTAGAGGTCCAGTGTGTCCCCAGGTCTTAGATGAGGGATGTAAGCCACGCTGAGGTTCGGTGGTGGGAGCTGGGGATGCAGGACCTGGTGGCAGATGCCAAGCCCAAGTTCCCCTGTGGGTCTCTGCACTGTGTCGTGGCTTGTGTCTCACAGAAATGACGTGAGCAGAGGTAAATGAAATAGGACCTTGTGTATGAATTTCATTTCCACTAGACATCGTCCTTTGTTCTTATTCCTCTTGAATGCATCTTTATCATTGTTGCCAACATTTAGATCCTGCTTCATCAGGACCTTTGTATAAGCATCTTCACTGCTATCACACTGATTTGAGGCAGTCTATTAGCTGGCTTCATTGTATTTGTTCAACCTTACCTAAAAACTTTTTTTTTTCGTGGTTAAGATTTTATCCAAATCAATCTATTGGCTCATGGAGTGATTATCTGATTTCTACTGTTGTTTTTTTAATCGTTTTGTTCTTTTCAGAAAGCTTTACTGCTTCATATCCTTTGGTCTGTATTCTGCTTACTATTTCAGTTGCATCTTTTCCCAATCGTCCTTTGGCTATATAGTAATAGAGAAGAGAGGAGAAAACCATAATTTCATTGCATTATGGGAATGCTGATACGTTAAACTCAGTAAGAGTCTAATTTGTCATTTTTATGGAAAGGCAGAATTAGTTAAAATTATTTCAGCCTCTGATTTGGAGATTGAAGTGGTCAAGCTTACTTGGTTATCTCCCCCTCCCCCACTTTGTTATTTTAATGTGACACCTAACATATTTTGAAACTAGAGGAAGGAATATTGGAGAGGAAGTCTTGTGATCACTGTCTTCAGATCTGCTGCTTGAAGTTACTTGCCCTAAGCATTCTTTTTCTCACTGTGATTATGGCGATAGCTGTAGTATGAGTACTGATGAGAATTATGCGAGGGAGTGTAACAGAAAGTGTTCAGGGCAATGCCTAGTAGATGGTCAGAACATGCTTAAAATTATTAGTTTCTTTAACTTTTTTTCTTTAAATAGGCTAGAAAATTTTTCAGAATGTCAAAGGAAATTGGTGTTGAGAAATGAACTGATTAAAAAAAAATGCTGGATTTTTTTTTTTTTTTCCTGATGAAGATTAAAAAAAAACTGTACATTTTCTAAAAAGTAGAGGATTGCCATTTGGCCAGGTTATGGAAAGGAAGTCTACTAACATAATTTTTATTAGCCTTCATCTGAAAATTGTAAACCTTTTGTCTCATTTTGTTAACTACTAGGAGTAAGGTGACAAATGTGTCATTTTTGGTGGCAACTGGAAAAATCTATGACAGCGAGTGGACTAACTGGTAGGACTGTGTCCTGTATCTCCATTCCAGGTTTCTCTTTTCCACATCTGTACATACAGCCTCCTCTTGGACATGACTGTGTGGATGTACAAGAGCATCTCAAGCACAACGTGTTTAAAACGAGTATTTAAACATGTTTTTCATTTCTTGATGAATGAAATAAACACCATTATCATCTGCCTGGTTCCCGAGTGCCCTTCTCTTTTTCCCTTTTGTGTGCAGGTTCACACATACAAACCTACATCCCACAGGTATTTACTGAATACCTGCTATGTATGTTTCAGACCATACTCTTGGTGCTAAGGATATAATGATGAACAAAGTTGCTACATTTTAAAACACTTTTTTTTTGGAATGAGGGGAAGAAAGACAAATGGTAAATCGATAGTATGCCAAGAGTAAGTGCTTTGGAGGAGAAAAATAGGTATCATAATGGTGATTGGGAATACTGGGTGGGAGTTGCTATTCCCTATAAGGCAGTAAGGGAAAGCAGGATTCTTTTGCTGCCTTGTGGTGAAGAGATTGCAGTCAGTCAAACCAGGAGGTGGGCGATGAGTTGAAGGCAGTTATGAACCAGGTGAGAAAGGATGGTAGGAAAAGCAGTAGCTGGGGAGATGGTAAGGAGTGCTTATCTCAAGGAACATTTTTGAGTTAGAGTCAACTGGGAAGTAGCAGAAAACAGGATGACTTCAAGCTTTTTGAGTTCAGCAGTTGCAACAAGAGCATTCCCATTTTTTTGAGATGAGAAGAGAAGGTGTGGAGGGTGTGTGTGTACATGTGATGTTCAAGGTGCCCCTTAGACATCCAAGTAGAGATGTTGAAAGTAGACCCCTGGGTATTCACTCTGGAATTCAGGAGACAGATGTGGGCTGGATTCTCCTTTTGGAAATCATCCCTTCTGTCCATCCCAGTTTCTGCTGCTTCAGGTGAGGGCACCATTTTTTCTCCTTTGGATTTCTGTAATTCCCTCTGTCTTGACCTCCTACCCTCGTACTTTTCCACTCTTTCCATAGCCTGAGTTTTTTTCTAAAATGCAGTTATTTTGATATCTGTCACACACTTAAATCTCAGTGGCTCCTCATTGTCTGGAGGATAAAATCCAGACGTCTTAACCTGGCTTAAAAGGTTTTGCGTGATGTGGTCCCTGCTACTTTCTGGTGTGATTTACTGCTACTCAATATTCTCTGTTCTTATTATTCTCTCTTCTTTCTGTACCCTTCAAGTTCTTGCACCTTTAGATCTCCAAATACTATCCTTCCCTTATCTGATCCTTCCTCCTCCCACCCCAAAATCTTCTCTCCTACCTAACTCCTTTTCTCCTTCAAGCTTTTGATTAGATATTTATTACATGAAGACTGTCCCTGATAAGTATGGGTTATGGGATTCTTCTTTATTTAGCTTTGGTTTCTAATAAAATGTTACATATATATCCATGCATTGTAATTGGCATTTGCTTTGAATTTACTGCTGTTGGTCTTTATTTATTTTTTTAAATATAATTTATTGTCAAATTGGTTTCTATACAGCACCCAGTGCTCATCCCAAAAAGGGCCCGCCTCCATTCCCATCACCTACTTCCCCCTCCCCCCATCAACCCTTAGTCTATTCCAGGTCCTTAAGAGTCTCTTATGGTTTTCCTCCCTCCCTCTCTGTAACTCTTTTTTTTTCCCCCTATTCTGTGAGGTCAGGATGTCTCTATTTTGTCTAACAGTGTATCTGTATTGCCTAGCACAACCCCTATTAATTGGTGCTTAATATTCATTTGAATGAAAGTATAAGCGAAGTTACTGATGATAAGCATGTATGCAAAATTTAGTAGTTTTTATATACCAGCCATAACTAGTTACAAACTATAGTGGGGAAAGGTAGAATTAACCACTCCCTCCACTTCCCATCCCCATACTTAAGAGTATAATTTGGATTTACTTAGGACACCTAATAGTAACAGTGAGTATATAGGTTGCCTAGGAAGATCACTGTGGTAAGTTGAATAATTATAAACACATGTCATGTTGATGACTAGGAATTTTGAAAAATTGTCAACATATCAAATCTCCTTGAATCTATTTATAAATGCCTTGCAAGTCAAATGCAATTCAAATGAATTTTATTTATGGAACTTTTGAATTACTCTAAAGTTCATGTAGAAAAATAAATGAAGGAGAAAAGGAAAGAAAATGTAGAAAGGGAAAAATGATTTGAACATTCAATTAAAAAAGATATATCATGCAGTGCTTAAGACAGAATGATAGTTGACCAGGAGTAGTACTTAGAGCAGTGGAACAGAATGAGAAACCCAGAAAAACAAATGTGGGATAAAAGTGTAATATAAAATTGGTTGAAAAAGATGATTATTAATAAAATGATAGAGATAATTAATACTTAGAAAAAATATAAAATTTGATCCCTCAAACTATGTAACAAAACATATAATAGGCTTTTTTGATAGTAAATAACATAATGTGCCCTCTTATATGTTTGAAGATTCTTTTAGAAGCTATTTCCCCAGTATTAGTGATTTATTTGTACATATCTAACAAACACTGCTCCATTATTCTTTGTTATCAAGATCCTAATTTTGTATGATTGGCCTTGACCGGAAGAGCTATCCATGAACACAAAGGAGAAGGAAGATGATACGATGTTACAGATCTTAATTTTGACTATCCTATACCTTGCTGTGAGGACAGGTCATAGATTCGTGTTTAGCATGATGCTTATTCTGTTATTCTTTTACTAAGGAGAGGGAGGCTAGATGCATTTATTGATTTTAAAACACTCAGATAATGTAAGCTAAGTATCAAATTTTGACTGTTTTTATAGATATGGAAAACAAATAATAAACCATCTACTCTTCTGGTTTAGTATGAGCTATATTTTTAAATAAGCATGGTATATCAGACATAAAATAGCTGTGTGTGTTTGCTTAGCACTCTTTGAGCTAACTTCTTAACTTACCCTAAGTGTAAGTCTGTTTATTTCTTTAATTGTGTCCTGTATACTATTCATATGAGCTAAGTGTTCTCATTGTTATGCCCAATGGTATTGGTTAAAATAATGCAATCAGTTTTATTTTTAGTTTTTCTGTTAGACCTTCACGTATTTACTCTTAGTTTTTCTAGCAGAAGAACCACCAGTGCCTATCTGAAACAGGCCTTGGGATGTCTATTATTTTTATATCCATGTTCTTTAAAAGATTTGTATCTTTTTTGTATTCTTTGATAATAGTTCACGAACTGTCCTTTTGCTGCTGAATGCCTTACTGACATGGATCTATCCTTGCTTTTACAGAGAGAAGAGAAGAGGAAGATTTGGAAGAGAAGAAAGCTATTAAGAAAAAAATTAAAGAGCTTAAATTTTTAGATTCTAAAATTGCCCAGAACCTTTGTACGTATCAAACTTCAATACTATTACATTAGCAAAACACTGGAGGTGGTTCCTTTAAATTATTTCTTTATGACTTGTTTTTCATTTTATGTTATTTTAATATTTTATTATTTGCATAATAACTTCAAAGATAATTCATTTAAGCAAATGATGGGTTAAATTTTTCAAATTATAATGTACTTTAGGAAAAAAGCTAAGGAAAGGATTTAGAATGAAAGTATATGTTATATAGCTGAAAAAAAAAGGCTATCCTTTGTTTAAGCATATAAATAACAAGGAATTTGGGTGACAACATCGTATTTTAAAAAATAGTAGTGGATTATTTCTTTTATACCTCTGAATCTCTATTATTTTTGATACTTGATCACACACAAAAGAGGTTGGAATATTAATGGAAATTAGGATGATGAGAAAAATGAATTCCATTATCCCATCTGAGCAGTTCAAAGCCTTTCCTCAGAAGTAATGACTGGAAATATTTTAGATTTAATTACTGTTACAGGAGCTAAATACTTAGCATTGAATTGTCTTTCTGACTGAATTACTATGGGAGAAGAGGGCAAAGAGTTTTGCTTCTAACTCATTTCTAACTGCAACTTAAATGCATCAAAGATAGTTTGCTTGGAACTGAGATAATAGGATATGTATGTTATTTTCTGATGTTATGAGAGGGATGCAATGTGGAGAATCTAGAGGCATGAAAAGTTAACGTGGCTTTTAGTCTTCCTTTCAATTATTACATGCCTCAAGAGAGCTTTTAGCAAGTATTGGAACAAAAATTCTTTGGTGAGAGGATAAAGATCCATGCTATTGATTAAAGAGGGAATTATGTTAGAGGCAGTAAGCGTGAAAGACAGAGTTGACATTCCTTTTGTGAAAGTTTTGCAATCTCCTTTCTTTCCTGCTTACTCTGACAGAGGGCCACCCCTTTTCTGCAGTGTAGGTATGCCAAGATCCACATGGATAGTGTGTAGACATTAATGCTATTGGCCAAGATATTGCTCTCTGTTTCTGGGGCACAAGTTGATACCTTTGAAGTTAGATGTCATCATGTGACTTGCTTGGGCCAATGATAGTATAAGCGGAGATGAGATAGCTTTTGTGTGGGAGCATTTATTGGTGGTGTGAGAAACTCCAGTGCCCTTTCCCCTGCACCCAGTATGGCAGTCAAAATGGTGTCTATCACCCTGATGAGAAGATCACAAGTATCAGGGCTCTGTCTTTCTGATGTGTAATGGACATGTAGTCTGAATTAGAGATAATTTACATGTATGTGTATGTGTGTGAATGATTAGACTACTGAGATTTGGGGGACTGTTACATGATACAGGCATTTCAGGGAATTTTCCCCCTTAAAGGAACATTGTCTGGCTTCAAAGCATTATTAACTTAGATAATGACAAAAAAAATTATATTCTCTGTGATGTGAAAAACATAGATTTTCTTGAAAAGTGTCTATGACCCACATTATAAATTCCTAGTCTAGACTCTAAACAGCCTTGTTAGGGGTCCTGGAGAAGTACCAATTCAAATGGATTTTTTTTTTTTTTTTTTTTTAATTTTAAGGGAAAGAGAGAGAGGGAGTGAGCAGAGGAGGGTCAGAGAGAGAGGGGGAGTGAGCGAATCCCAAGCAGGCTCCGCACAGTGTGGAGCCAGATGCGGTGATTGACCTTAGGAACTGTGAGGTCGTGACCTGAGCTGTAATCAAGTTGGACACTTAACCGACTGTACCATCCAGTTGCCCCTTACATAGAATTCTTTTTAGATGAGTCAGTCATAATAAGTTAGCTTAAATATCTATCTCAAAGTTGAATAATTGACTTTAGTATTATTTATATATGACAGAACATGTGCTAAATGGGATTTCAAATTTAATTGCATTGGTTAATAATTATTGATTACCTTCCTGTGTTCTAAATTTGGCCCTTTAATCTTAACTACAACCCTATCACATAGGTGGTAGCATTGATGTTGCAGATGGGTATAACCGTTCAGTGACTTGAATAAGGTTGCCTGTTTTGAAAATAATAGGTATAGCATACACTATTCCTGTTTAGAGATAACAGAATCACATTTTCTTGGAGAAGGATATTGTTTGTCTTTTTTGCTTTAGCTGAATATATGGAAAATATATATATATATATTCTTTTAATTATTAAACACATTTTAAAGTATAATATTGAAAAGTCCAGAATTTATGCCATTCATATTATGATGTAATCCATTCCTGGATTATTCTTGCCCTCTCTGATTGTAGCAAGTGTTATGATTTAAGCTTTAAGAAGCTTTAGCAACCTATAATCTTGACCATAATTATAATTTGATTCACAGCTGTTTTTTGTCTTTGAAATTCAGTCTTTTGAGATACTGAGTTGTGGGAAGAGTCTTGTGATAGGACAAGGCAGAGTCTTGCCACTTAGATATCTGCAATACATTCTCTTAGATTTCTCTTAACTGAAATATTTGATAGAATTTTGAGGAAAGGATGTAAAGTCTACTCTTATTTACCTATTTATTCAAAAGTATGTTAGGTTCCCTATGTTTGAGTTCATAAAGGTTTTGGCAGAGACCCTGTGCTGAGCACAAAAGAATTCCAGGCACTCGAGGATCAAGAGAGCCCTCAGGAGTTTTACAAGGTTCATATGCTTTACCAGATTTTTGGAATATTAGAGCTCTAAAGGGAGGAACCCTGGAATCTATGAATTAATGTAAAGATTTAAATATTTATAAGTTCCCTTGAAGAAAACATGTGTGACTGGTTCCAAAATCTGCACACTTTACATTTCTTCACTGAACTCAAAGCTTCAGTGGGACCTATATAGTCACATTTTGAAGGATAAGATGCGTGTTAGTAAAAATATTCACTTTAACGGGTCTTTTGGAGGCTTTAAATGAGTATCTCCTATCCTCAGTAACTTCTAATTTGTTTTTTAAGGATCTATGCTTGTCTTCTGAATTGTGTGTTATGCATTAGGCCATTTTCAACTTTTCTGTCATTTTTTTCCCCCTTAGAGCACATGTTTGGCAGAAATCTTATTCATAAACTATAAAAAAAATTGTTCAGTCTTTATAGATATAGGTGTTTAATGTACATGTTATTTTAACTGTAGAATATTAATACTGGAAGGCAGAGAATGAATTATCAATATAGATGAAAGTAAAGGAATAAATGATGTCCATCCACACAGTAAACCCTTCTGTTAACATTTTTATCTTTTTATATAGTTGTTACTATATTAGTTATGCATGTTGTGTTATTTATATTTACTTCTGTTATTGTACTTACATAAATGTGCAAGTGAGATCATAGTAGGTTTTTATCTGCAGCTTTGTTGTTTTTTTTTATCTCCACAACCACCTTCACTTCTGACACCAGTTAAGTTTGGGGGTCCCCAAGACCAATCTTAAGTATGATGGTTTATTGGAAGGACTCACAGAAATGACTGAAAACTCTTTGATTTATGATTAAACAGTACAGATTAAAATCAGCCAAGGAAAGAGGCACATGGGGAGGTGTCCAGGAGAGTTTGGAGCACGAAATTTTCACCCATGGACATCTCTAGCTTCTCCCATCAATGATGTGTAATAATAGTCACAGGTTATTGCCAACCAGGGAGGCTCACTTAAGCCTTGGTGTCCAATGTTTTTACTGGTTCTTGGTTTTGGGTGAACCTGACCCAAAACTGCGTGACTGACCTTAGTTTTCAGACCCTCGGGAGGACAGGTTAATACTGTGTGACTCAAAATCCCCACCATAACTGAGATTATTAGCATAGACTGGCTAGTGTGACCCAGTGTCCCCAGTAAACATAGAAACTCTTATCAGGCAGGACATTCCCAGGACTTTTGAGAGTAGCTCCCAGGAGCCAGACCTCACTTGATTAAGCTTCATCTGTTACCACAGTATGCCACCCTTTCTCCCCATGCATTTTGTTTCCATATTATTCATTTAAAATTATTTTAATTGTTTTTGTTATGACCTATTATCAGAGAATATAGGAAATGCATGTTACATTTAATGATATAAATCAAACACCTACAGCTAAAGAAATAGAACATGACTCATACTTTAAAGACTTACATATGACCTTTTCCAATTTTATATCCCTTCCTATGAGAAGTTACCATTCTCTTAAATCTTGGTTTAAATATTTCCTTCCTTTTATTTATAGTTTTACCAACCATGTGCATATTCCTAAATAAGCTGTTTAGTTTTTAACTGACTGACTTTTATATAAACAACATCATATCATATTAATGCATCTGGCTGTAGTATATTCATTTTTATTGCCATTTTTAACACATTCTTTGACTGTTACACTTTATTCATTTAACCCTTGATTGACTTCTGTGTTGTTTCTCATTTTTGGTGGTACTAAGGCAAGGTGTGGCAAACTATGGCCTTCAGGCTAAATCTTGCCCATTGTCTGTTTGTTAAGACACAGTCTAGCAGAGCTTAGCCAGGACATTTGTTTACATAATGTCTGTGGGTGCTTCTGTGCTCCAATAACACAGTTGAGTAGTTGTGACAGAGTCTGAATAGCTTAGAAAACCTAAAATAATGGCTATGTGACTCTCAGCAGCAAAAGTTAGGTGACTCCGCCTCTAAGTAGATATCTGGGCAGTGTTTGTACCAATTTATTCTTCCACCATCAGTGCCTGAATTTTCCTACTTCCTAACCTTACCGATGCCTCGTGTTTTGCAAGGTTCTAGAGTGGCTTAAAAAAAATACATCATATTTGGGATTTGTTGGGCCTTCGTGTTGTTGATGATTTGTGTCTCTTTATAATTCTGGAATATTCTGACCTTTTCTCTTCAAATAAGATTTCTTTCAACTCTGTTCTTTTTTGTGATTTCCCTTTGTAAATCCAAGTAGACATTTTTAAGGTATCTTTACTTATCTTCTGTATCTCTTAACCAACTATTTTTCCATCTCTTTAAATTTGTGTTTTGGATTGCTTTTTTGCCTGTGGTCTTTCATGTCCTCAATTTTCTCTTTATATTATATCTAATCCATACATTGAGTTTTCGATGTCATTAGTGTATGTGTGTATATATATTTTTTACTTTCAAAAAGTAAAAAATCCTCCAAATCTTGTTTCTTTTTAGTAATCTTTTTCTTTTTCCCTTGGCCATTATTTCAATCTTTCCTTGAATATTTTTTTCTCCCAGGATTTCTGTTTTCCTTCCTTTAAGGATAGCTCAGAAATGGATTTAAGATTTAAATACATGCACACACTTATGTATATTTTTTAGATATTTCAAGGGTTTCTTTTTTATTCTTGAGTTATAGCTGACACACAATGTTACATTAGTTCCAGTTGTACAGCATAATGATTGGACAGCACTATACCTAATGCTATGCTAAGGATATTTCTTGATTGAGATCCAAAATATCCTTTTTTGGGAGGAGGAAGTAGATAATTCCAGGGCATCTCTCCACTTTGTCTTAGTGGCTGAAATATGTAAAAGTATAATTTTTCTTTCTCTCCATGATTGTGTTATGCCTCAGAGTAATTTTATCCTTTGATCTTTGTATTAAATGTTATAATCTTTTCTGTATCTTCTTGTTGTATCCATAGACTAGGTTTCTTGAGTAGAATTTATTGCTTCTCAAAGGGAATTAATAATTTCAAAGATTCTGATTAATCTTACTAATCCTACAGAATTTGCAATTCAGGTATATTTTAACACTTTGTCTTCTCAGTTTGCTTACTCCTAAGGTTTAACACATTATTACATATTATTAGTTTTGTTTTTTTTTTCTTATTCTTTTAATTAAAGTTACATATATTTTTTAAGAGACAGATAGCATGAGCGGGGAGGGTCAGAGACATCTCATGAACCTTGAGATCATGACCTGAGCAAAGATCAAGACTCAGATGTTTAATCTGAGCCACCCAGGTGCCCATAAGGTTACATACATTTTGCTCATTTTCCTTTTTAGACCTCAGGGTATTCTAAATGAAGAAAAAAAAAATGCTTTGCTTTTTGAGGCAGATTTATCCCCTCAGCTTCCTTATTTTTTAATTGTTTAAGGTGCTTTGACTTGTTTTCCTTTTATGTTGTCAGAGATCACTCTTTTCACATATTTTCCAACAACTTATATGATTAAGATGTTCTCTTACCATAAAGGAGCTAAATTGTCATGTTAAATTTATTTTAGTATTTGTTTTTGTTAATATTTACATTTAATTCTGCAATCATAAGCAACTGGTTTTGTACATGATGTATGTATTTAGATTTTGTTCTCTTCCCATTAATTATTTACTGATGACCTCTTTGAGATCATATAATTACTATATTTTTTTGCTTTTCAGCGTCTACTACAGGGTTTTTATTTTGTAATTTCATTAATCTGTTTTGCAATAACATTTAGATATTTTATTCCATTTGTTGGTATACTAAGGATTATACCCATCTATAATTTCTAGCACTATTATCCTTTATTTATAACTATTTGAGTTCAGAAATGTATCAGTGAAGCTGGTGTTGACGTTGAACATGTTGTTCATCTGTAAATGATACAGATGTATCATTACATTTACATGAGGTGTCCTCAGGTATATGGAAGCCTAAAGATAGCCTTTAAAAAGAAGATCATGTTTTCTAAATCTTGTAAAAAATACTGTCTGTGAAAAGATCTACAGACAAGATGACATAAGTTCAGCATATAAAATAAATGGTAGCGGTAGCAAGTTCTGAGTACGTTCACAGAGTGACATCTGTCACTGAAGAAGAGACACAGTAATAGTAGATCAAGGGGGGAAACGGCAAAAATATTAAATCTAATACTATGAAAATATCCTTATTTACCTCAGTAGCTTTTGAGAAGATCACTGTGGTTTAATATTAGACATATGAGATATTAGAAAAAAATGTAAATAATGTTGGAATTTTCAGTAATAACATATTACCCAATATAATCCATTTGTATGGTTTCCCAGGAAAATTTGTTTTCCAATATTCGATATTCAAGCTTCAGTTACATATAAAGGCTATTTTTCTGGCATATTGTCTATAATGTTTTTAAAGAGCAAAGTGCTATTATAACTTGCAATAGTGTAAATGCACTACTTGCCAGTTTTCTTAAAATATTTTTTTTCTGGGGCGCCTGGGTGGCGCAGTCGGTTAAGCGTCCGACTTCAGCCAGGTCACGATCTCGCGATCCGTGAGTTCGAGCCCCGCATCAGGCTCTGGGCTGATGGCTCAGAGCCTGGAGCCTGTTTCTGATTCTGTGTCTCCCTCTCTCTCTGCCCCTCGCCCGTTCATGCTCTGTCTCTCTCTGTCCCAAAAATAAATAAAAAACGTTGAAAAAAAATTAAAAAAAAAATATTTTTTTCTGAAGTATTTAGTAGGGCTGCAGGATATTATAAAACCTAATAATACACATGTTTAGACAAAAGTTATATGTGCATATTGGAGTTTTATGGTTCTTTTCATTCCAATGTAATATTTTTATAGTGTACCAAATATGTTTCAGTTGTTTTTTTTTTTTTTTTTTTATCATATGAAAATTGGCACCATTCCTGTGATAGGCTAATAACCAAGCATTAAAAATCAACCTTGGAACCAGCATAATAATAAAGGTCTGTTGCTTAAATACTAGTTCTAAAACTAGAGTAGAAAATGTGCTAATGAAAATTTCTCCCATAGTCATTATATTTAATGTTTAAAGTCTCTCATTTTATGAATTAGTTTTGATTTTATACATAGAACTACATCTCATTCTTTTCTTCTCTTACTCATTATGAACCCTTTTCTCCCCCTTTTAGCAATCTTCTTGAGCTCTTTTCGGGTGCCATATGAGGAAATCAAAATGATGATATTGGAAGTGGATGAAACACAGTTGGCAGAGTCTATGATTCAGGTAAACAAACTGGCAGAGAGCTTAAATTCCAATATTTCATTGCAAGCTTCTCATTAAATACAAATCTGTAAGTGAAGCAAAATTCTTAAACCAAATCATTCAACTGGAAAATCATTGCTGCATAATTAGTTTTAGCATAACTTCTGCTTTGCCAGGAGATAAAACTCTGCATCTTTTCTTAACTGCAACTAAATATAATGCTATCAAAATGATTACATTTCAATTATTTTAAATGACTGTTTTCGAAAGGCAAATTGTTTAATTCAACATGTATGTTTTTGTTTTTGTTACAGTTAAGGTTAGTAATATGTGACTTAAAGTTTATTTGTATAATCCTTTCAGAATATGTTTTTATTAGGCTCTTACCTTGTAAAGTTGCATTATGATTCAGTGCAGAAGATTGAGGGACTTTTCTCTTCATTTAGAGTCATCTTTATTAACCACCCTTCCTTGAGTCATTTGTGTTCCTACGAGTACTAGAAATTGTGGGCATAACATTCTGAATTCATTCAGGAGGCTGCCAGATTTTTTAAATGGTGTCTACCCACAGTATTATTTAAGGAATGCTAGTGTGGTGCCAGAGTTATTTGCTGAAGTCCACATAAGACATCAATAATGCTTATCTTGATAAACTGTAAAATCAGAGTATCAAACCACAAATTATATAGGAAGAGAATAATATCTTCAGTTTACTATCTTTCATTCTTATAGTGGATGTACTTAGAAAAATGGCTTTTTAGCAACAAAAAGAAACCAGAGATTATTTGTTAGTGTGAACACATGTTTAAAATTATTTTGGACATTTAATCCATCAATGAATGGTATCTTGGAAAGTTTTGGGTTTTGCTTCTGCTATCTTGTCTTCCCAAGGTGGTTGCAATATAATCCCAGTAGGGGTTTGTGCTGTGAGTAGCTGAGACTCATATACACCTGATTCAGTAACTCTTCCCTGAGCCTTTTTTCTCTAAGCACTTTCTTTTTACTAGGTTTTTGTCTTTGTTAACTGTTGATCGTAAATGTGACTTGTTGGGAGTAAATTTCAAGTTCCTTAAAGAAAATTTTTTCTGCTTCATACATGTTTGTATTTTTTTTTTAATGCATTTATTGAATTTTTACAGAGTAGCTTTTAACTTGATTACACGAATGTTTTGGATATTCATGTGGATTTTGTGTGTAGAGATGGGAAATTTGCATTTTTAAATTCATGTCCAAAGAACATCCAGTTCCATATAATTTCTTAATATATTAGTTTTCTATTGCTGCTGTAACAATTCACCATAAATTCAGTAGCTTAAAATAACACAAATTTATTAGTCTCCATTACTGTTGAACAGAAATCTGGCATGTGTCTTATTGCGCTAAAGTCCAGGTGTTGGCAGGCTTGCCTTCCTTTCTATCGGATTTAAAAAAAAAATCCCTTTCTTTATCTTTCCTGGCTCCTAATGGCTTCCCACATTCCTTGGCTTGGGACACTTTTCGTCAACTTTCAAAGGATATTGACTCTCTTCTTTTTTCCATGGTCACATCTCCCTCTCGCTCCATGTTCTGTCTCTCTCTTCCACTTTTAAGGACCTTTGTGGTTACATTCTGCAGTTCTGATAATCTAGGGAAATTTCCCCTATTTACAAGTTTTGGGGATTAGGTGTGGACATCTTGGGTGGTGTGGTTCAGGTCATCCTTCTGCCTGCCACACCTACTACATGTAAAACCCATCTCAGGAATTTAAAATAGAAAAATTTAGTTTGGACATTTATATGCTGATTAAAAAATAAGAATTCCGTGCTATTTGAAGTCTCAAGTTAATTTTATTTATTTCAGTTTATTTATTCATTTTGAGAGAGAGAGGGAGGGAGAGTGCAAGTGGGGAGGGGCAGAGAGATAGGGGGAGAGAGAATCCCAAGCAGGATCTCCAACCTCCCACATGGGGCTCGAACTCATGAAAAATGAGATCACGACCTGAGCTGAAATCAAAAGCTGGATGCTTAACTGACTGGGCCACCCAGGTGCCCTCTTAAATTAAATAAAAAAATATGTTCCTAATTGTAAAGTGAAGAACTGCCTATTTTTCACAGGGCACAGGGAAAACCTTACTTTATAATAATCATCATTTTGGTAAGCTATGTTCACAGTCACGATTTTGTTTTGGCATATCTAGTTACTCATTCATATATAACCAGATGTCAGTAGTATGTCATTTTTGATGTCATCCTTCTAACTTATTCTCTCCCCGTTTGCCTTCATTTGTCTTTTATTAATTAATTCATTTAGCATCTATTTTATTATACCCCCCCCCCCCACCATGTGCAGGGCATTGTGGTCGGTTCAATTAAACATCGATTTTACCTTTCTGGGATATTTAGTTTGACAAGTGAAATGATGTGTGTGTGTGTGTGTGTGTGTGTGTGTGTGTGTGTGTGTGTGTATAAAATTATAATACAAGGTACACATGGCTGTATCAAGACTTTTTTTTTTTTGGTATAGATTAGATGATGGGTTAAGGGAGTGCTGTGCATGTGTGGAGGTGAGGGTACGTGTGTGTGTGTGTGTGTGTGTGGAGGTGAGGGTACTTCAGGACTGAATACAGTATGGATGTAGAAAAGGCAATAGGGCTCTGTGACTAATATGTAGCAAAGGTCAGTTATTCTGGCACTAGTAATACTCTGAGCACTGAGGGAAAGGCTGTGGGTACGTGGGCAACTGTGAAGAGTTGGTTTAGTCTGAAAGGACCTTAGGATTTATGGAAGGTTGGTAACTTTGGTAAAGAGAGAGACACAGGAAGTTTGGGCCTGTATCTTAGAAATCATTATAGTTTCATTACTCTACAAAGCAGGAATAATGAAGTGAAAAATTAATAAATACATGATAAAAGATTATATATTAACTCATAATATTTAAGGGGATTTGATGGTCATCTACAAGGATACTGAAGAAATTCAGAAGCCTGATTATAAATAACTCAATCCAGCTGTTAGCTAGAATGGTTAAAAGAAACACAAATAACCAGGTCTTTTGGCTTCAGGCAATTTTAATAAGAGAAATTTCTATTTATATGGAAAAATCCTCTACTTGCATTGTTTTTATTCAGTTGGTAGTATTAATAGTAAATACTTTTGTTAGGGATGATCTTAAATTGCCACTTTTTTTGTTTGTTTTCGGCCAGTCAACCAAGTTTTTGTCCAAAGGTACACAGTGAGTCCAAAACTTCTTCTTTGATCTAACTACTTTGATAAATAACATTCTCTAACAATGTCTTTAACTAATGACACCTTTGGAGGCGTTTTCCCCATAAATATATAGAGCCTGATGTAGGCTGAATTATAACTTGTATTGACTTTGGGCTTGAAGACAATATACTGATGCTAAAATTTGGGATTGTGAACACCAACCACTCTTTTTCTTAATTTTAATATCAGGACACTAATTTGTAATGACACTGTTAAAATCAATTACATTTTGATACGGAAGATCTATATAGACTTTGTCCACAAGACTGTATAATCATTACTTTATAACAGGGAAGAAAATTTGTTTATTTGGTCTTCATTGGGAGTGTTTGCCTGACCTTAAGTGTGTGGCCTGGGAAAGACTGTTCATGGACAGAGGAACCAGAATAACCAAGCAAGCCTGTGGTTTCTGGATGGGAGGTGATCCAGGCCAAAGGCAACAGGCACTTAAATTCCTAAACGATCTCTTCAGAAGCTTTTTATTTGCAAAGTATATCATTCCATGTCTTTAGTACCTTTTCAAGTTTTCTTCCACATCAGAAAAGTTACTTTGTCTTCGTTTTAGAGATACTTTCATTTTTGTTATTAAACTGTAATCATGTTGATTAAATCTTGCAAGCACTTTCATTAAAGTTCTCTGGATTTCATTTCTTTCTCTTGCCTTTTAGTAGTAATATGATAATTTCTTTTATCACCCTGGATGAAGTGTTAAAATATGTTTGGCTTTGCTTGAATATCTGACATTTAATTCCCTCAATCTGAAATGTAATTGATCACATTTACCCAGGTGAGAAAGCTGTTCCTTTGGTATAGGTGGAGTTTTTCTTTCTCAGTTATATAGCTAATCAAATAAACATTCAGTAGTGCTTGATTTGAATATATAACTCTAGAGAGTAAAGAGGAAAATTGACTGCTTTCAAGATGCAGAGAATGTAGCGTAAAGCTGAGTATAAGGGAGGTTACCTAGAAATAAAACTGAAGACTGACTTTTTTAGTGGTTTCTTTCCAATAGTTTATTGATGGATTTATCTAGAGTGCAGGAAGCACATTTAGTGAAAATATTTTCTTATGTTTTTAATTTTTAGAACCTAATAAAGCATCTTCCAGATCAAGAACAGTTAAGTTCACTGTCTCAGTTCAAGAGTGACTATAACAACTTATGTGAACCCGAGCAGTTTGCTGTTGTGGTAAGTACTGTCTTTTGGCGTTAACTCTCCTGTGCGGGCATCTTTATACCAGGCAATGCAGGAAAGAAAATGTCAGGCCTTTTCACATCAGGATTGTCCCATAAAGCTTTGAAGCCCATCTTGCTTTTTTTTTTTTTTTTTAACCTAAGGATATTTATGGGAAATTATTTTGATTTCAAATATGTATATTGAAACTGTAGCCACAAATGAAGTCCAAGGAGTTTTTAAAAAGTATAAACCTGATTTCTTGTTGTCGTTATTGTCAACTTCATGTCAAAATGTAAGATGAAAACTGCACTCCTATGACTGACGAGAGTATTTATGGTTAATGCCGGAGCATCGTAAGCCAACATACTGCAAAAACAGCATCAGTTTCTTATTGTAATCACTCACTTCCTTTCATCTCCCATGTTAGACTCTGAAATTAGAAGTACATTCTCCTCCTTGGTGATAAGGGTGAAAAAGGGATACCTTTAAAAAAAATCTTTGAGACACCTTGATAATCATCTTGTTCCAGTCTCCTATTTTATTTATAGAAGTTGGGGGTCTGCAGAGGTGAAAATTCTTGCCAGTGCTATATATTAGCTGTGTTGCCAACTTAAAATTAAGATTTTTATCGAGCTTGCTTTCTCCTGTTCTTTTCTCCTATCATTACATAATCATTTTGAGGTTGGTTACATTCAGTCATCATGATGATACTGTAGTGTTTTGATTCTTTGTATGTAAGATTATTTTTTTTTCCCTTTCATCTGAAGTTCTATTACCAACCTCCAGGGACATGATGGAATTTGTGTTTGATATAATTATGAAGATGTGGGTTGGCTAACTAAAGGACTGTGACTGCATACCATATTTTGCATGTTGTTGGCATTTGCTCTTAAACTGCTTAAACTGCTGCCATTTCTTCATAAACCTATTGTCTTCAGCCCTCCCCGCACTACCTTCCTGAGTTCACAAAACTCTGCTTAGAACACATAAGGGGAAGAAAAAGGCAGGGTTTTTCCTATACATAGTTTACAATTTTTATTATAAAACTTTTAACTTATTTTCTTTACAAAAAAAAAAAAACACAACTTTTTTTTTTTTAAACCCAGTTCTCTAGGGTACCATTTTCTTCTTTTTCTCTTTTCTGTATTTCCTTGTTTGCTTTATATTCTATTACCTGATCATTTTGTCTTTCTTTTGCTCCATATTTGATGCTCTACCTGCAGTGGCTTCCATTGGGTATAAGTGAGTAAGGGAGAATTTGCATTACATTTTTAACCACAGACTATGCAGAATTTGGGGGCTTTTTTTTTTTTTGGCCCAACTTTTTTGACTTGAAGAAAATTATATAATGTAAAATTATAATATAAAAATATTTCCTATTCACATTAAATCTGAAACACATATAAGCTTATATGAAAATGTCTATGTAGCAAGTAACTTTTTACATTGCATGTCATCACAGGAAAAATGTAAAACTCTTCTCACATTTTAGTGATTTTCACAGAAGAATGAGCTCAAACTTGCAGTTATTTTAAAATAGGCAGGTTATGTCCGCCTTTGAAAATATGGAGTTCACATCAAAGAGCCATGATTTACAAGCAGTATTCTCGTAGGGGCCAGAAATTTAAATATAGCAATTATATTCCCAGATATTAGTGCCAGAGGTTATAGTTTTGATTTTAAGACAGAGATAGACCACTTCCATTTTAGGACATGTCAACTCAAACTTGACCTTGAATCTACACATTCCATACCAGGTCATCATACCTGACTGAAAATGGAATTTAATGTTGAAAGAGTAAAGGTATTGAACAACATCTGCTAGACACATTATGAACAGTGTTTTATTATATGTTGATTGTGAATGTTCTTGAACCCATTGTTGTACATTCTAGTTTGTGTGGTACTAATGTTTTAAAACATAATTGCTTTAGTGAAGAAAGGAGAAAGTTGACAGGAAAAAAACAATAATATAGTATGTAGTGTGTGTCTGTGTGTGTGCATCGTCAAATTGTAATGTTCTTCAACTTTACCTTCTTTCAGCTTTTTACCATTCCTAATATGTCTCCCTTTACTTCTTAGATGCTTCCCCCCTGCCCAAAGGGGGAGAAACCTGCTTAAAGTTCCAAACAATACTGCAGAATTACCAAAAAACATGATGGACAAAAATTGTATGACAGTGTGGAATGCCTGCAGATTTTAGTTCTTTCTGGATTAAAAGCTCAATATTGTTTGCTAGTTGTTTAAATAGCGATATGTTTTCAATTTATCAAGATTACATAAGTAATATGATAGTTTGGTAGTTTCAGGAAACTGATTATAATTATGTTTATTTCTATGATTCTCATTATACTGTTTTATTTTATAAGTAATAAACATGTTTGTAGTGAAGATGGGCTATTAACTCCAAGTAAACTGAACTGCAGATTCCTACATGACTTTGATTTCATAGAAGAGCATTTACTTACTGACTAAACTTAGATTTAAAGTAGTAATCATTTCCACCTAAAAATCATCACCATATCAAAAACAAGGGTAGTCATAGATTAGGGCAACCTTTGTACCCCCAAATAGGGCCAATTCTTGCCTTTTCATTTGTTTTCACCAAAGATAGGCTTACTTTCAGCTCTGTATCATCTTCAGGTTCTGTAACCGTTGATCTCTACATTGTTTTCAATTTAACAAAATCACTTGAAACTCTACAGTTACATTACTTGTCAGTTTAACTTTTTCTTTTATCCAATTATATAAATTTATTAATGTAATTCATGTGAATTTTAGAATTCTCAGAAAGGTGTGTTCCATTTCAACAAACATAGGAACTTGACACTATAAAATCTCCATAGTTGTTTGCATTATATAATCAACTTTAATTCCACTCAAGAATTAGGTAAAACAATAAGCAAAAATCCACCCCACCAGGACATTGGAATTTGCTTACATTATTTTCTCTTTGGTAGAAAGGGAATGTACAAAAGTAACACATCCAAAATGCCTGGTAACCAGTGTCAATTAAAGACCAATTAGAATATATAAGATATAACACATAAATTAGAAATACCTTTTACTTTTGTCATGTATTACTTGGATACAACTTTTCAGGACTCTATGTCCTATATAGTGTGTGGTATACAAATAGACTATTGAGAAATACTGTGTCAATATTCATGAAATTGTATGTCCTTGAAGCTTTCTTTCAGTCACTAAACCATGTTTGTATTCCCTCCAGGTTTCCTATAATATAGTGTTTCATATGCACTTTATTTCTCCCTTGAAATTGGAAGCAAAAATTTTTAATGCAGACACTATCTCGATTCCTTAAAAAAAAAAAGTTTTTTAATGAATGAATACTAGATACAGGTCCTTTTATGCTGCTACTAAGGGTTCAGTCACTCATCTATTATTTTAATAATTCAGAATCTTCCCGAACTAGTTTTCTTTGCAATCCTTATGACTTGGACATTGGCCAGTTTGAGCAGGACAGTTCTTAGGTGTTCAAGAGCTGGCCTTGTCTGTGCACTGTAGTCTACTTGTGATCATAACAGTGGTGGCATTTGGTGGGCTGGTACCTTTTGGAATTGATCTCCGGTGCTGTGAATTCAGGTCCTAATAGTTTAATGGTAGAATTGATTTGTTTTTTGTAGCTGATTATAGTATACTACCATGTCTTATGTTTTCCGACAGATTTTGGCGTATGAAAAGTAATATCCCACCCCAAATCTGAAAAAGTTGTCATTTAATGCTGAGAGACTGAAGATTCTAGTCAAATGGTGTTTTAAAGGAGTTCTCTGGGAGGTAGTCTATATCTGTGTCTTTTTGTGTAACTTGAAATGAATGATACAGTTGGCATGCTGATTCTATTTGTTGGTTTAGGTTCTGGGCAGAGGACACGGAGTACTGACTGATGTGCCTAATTTGAAATATTCTTTTCCCAGGACGGTTCAGGATAAAACTCTTATTGTTGCTGAGAAAGTGGTTTTTATTTGGTGTGCCTTTTCCTCATGCTTTATTCAACTTAATTGTCTGTCAATAAGTTAAGAAGTGAAAATATATCTCCTAGAAACTCTCACTTATTAAACCAATTGCCTGTCTCTTTTCTTGGATTCCTTCCTTCCCTCTTTAGCCCTAACGCCACCTCACCACCCCCCCCAAATATGGCCTATTTACCAAAAGTTGGTTCCCATTGAGTAGAACTTGATTTTAGTTGCATGACATTTTTTTTTTTTTAATATTTGCAGTTTCTTTGATCAGTAAACCATTAGGTAAAATCTCTGTTCTCACATTATCATGGTTTAACTGTGTGAGAAATAAGATATGTGAATATTCAATGGGATCAGAGGCTTAGCTGAAGTTTGGAAAAATGCCTAAAAATTTGCATTTGAAACTTAGTGCAGACTTTCTTTGATTAAAAAATCTAGGTTTTCGAGTATATGTCTCCATATTATTTAATTCCGTTAAGCTGCCTGTTCTTCAAAGGGATCAAATCTTTCATAGGAAGGTTGAATTGAACAAATGTCGTGTTTGTGTACTGTATTTTGAACTGCCACCATTTGGTGTCACTGTAGGGCAGGACTTTTAAACTTTTTGCAGTAGAGACCTCCATTTTTTTTTAATCAAAAAAAAAAAATGTTGTAGGAAGTTTATGCATATTTCCCTGCATTAAAAATGCCTTGTTTTAAATTATACCCTAATATTCTTGTTGTAAAACATTCAAATAACATATAAAAATGGTGAATACAATGTGGAAGTTCCTTGTATCTCACTAACTCACTGCATTCCACACAGAATACAAAATTATTTTTAACATTTTGTTGGATTTCCAATCCTGTTTCTTTGTACTCACAAATGTGTGCGTGTTCATATGAACATTTAGAATAAAACTACTCTGAAACTTTTTCATTATAAAAAATGTTTTGGAGATCTTTATTCTCATGATGTACCGGTTTTAGATTCTTATGTGGTATTTCATGGTCTCTAACTATGACTTTTTCTTTTTAACTATTTCCTTAAAA